TCTGAAGAAGGGTCCAGACCCGAAACGTCAGCTTTCCTGCTCCTCTGATGCTGCTTGGCCTTCTGTGTTCATCCAGCTCTACACCTTGTTATCTCCCATTCTCCAGCATCAGCAGTTCCCACTTATCTTGGGAAAGAGCTGTTAATTATCCACCCTCAGCTCATTCAGGGCTCCCTCAGGCCTGGAAATGGGAGATACATGTCTTTTTGTTTATTCATTCACGGGATGAGGGTGTTACTGGCTAGACCAGCATTTATTACCCATCCCTAATTGCCCAGAGGGCAGCTAAGAGTCAACCAGATTGCTGTGGGTCTGGAATCACATGTAGGCCAGACCAGGTAAAGATGGCAGTTTCCTTCCCTGAAGGACATTAGTGACCCAGATGGGTTTTTCCAACAATCGACAATGGTTTCATGATAGTCAGTAGATTCTTAATTCCAGATTCTTTTTTCATTGAATTCAAATTCCCGATCTGCTGAGATGGGATTTGAACCTGTGTCCCCAGAACATTGGGTGAGTTTTTTTTTTGGATTATTAGTCTAACGATAATACCACTGCCTCCCCGAACCAGATTCAGACCCTGCCCGGAGTTGAGTGGTCCCACTGGTAAGCTGCATCAACAGATAAGGATTAGGCTGGGGTCCCTCCCTTGTCTGAACACTCTGTCTTTGCTCGACAGGTCTGTAAAGGTGCCCAGCAGCATGAAGAGGTTTGTTTGGGGCTTTTAACGATGATTCTAACGGAGCCTTCGCAGGCACAAAGAGTGAGTCTTTTCCTGCCATTGTACTCCTGTCTAATCAACCTGTTCAGTTATGTTACGACACGCCTCCAGGGCTAGAGGCAGGACACCACCGCAATGCCACACGACCCCTAACTATTTTAAACTTGCTGGTTCTGATGTGTTCAAACTGTTTGCAGGAGGAGTGCACTACTGTACGAAAAGTGGAAATGCCTTAATCAATCAGCGAAGTGGTCAACGTGTTTCTCTTTATTATTGTTACTGAGACCAAAAAGAAGGTTGTCATCAGGCTCCTTCAATAAGTTCAAAAATAACCTGTTTCTTATAAAGAAATGCATTCTTTAAGCAACTGGTAAAATGGGTTCTGAGTTTAAGATACTATGCAGACTTGAAGTACATTCACTTAACGAACAGGGTAATGCTGCTATCATGGATAGAGAGAGAGAGATAGAAAAATGAAACACCCTGTTGAGGTGAAGGGTGTGAATTGAGGAGGCAGAATGGGTGGACTTCTTGCTGTTCCTTTGAGTTGCTGTCAACGATACCTGGTTGTTGACGGTTGCAGAATGATGGAAGGTCTTCAAACTCACTTTCAGATTGTTCTGACAATTTATCAGGTTTTTCCAACTGCTTCTCCAACAGAGGGCGAGCATTTCAGCTCATTTTTTTGTTGAGAGGGTTATTCCCTTCCTGACTGAAAGAGACGGAGAGTGAGTGATGCTTCTCCTGCCTGCCTGTCCTCACCTACTCCATCCAGGTCAGTCTCAGAATCCCGACAATGGAGGTGGAAGCCATTTAGGCCCGTTGAGTCTACACCACTCCTTCTGAAGAACATTCCACTCATTCCTGTAACTACATGGAGTTTTACCCCATGGCTAAACCACCTAGCCTGTATATTCCTGGGCACTACAGCCAATTTAGCATGACTAACCCACCTAAGCTGTGCATCTTTGGACTGTGGGAGGAAACCAGAGCACCTGGAGGAAACCCACGCAGACATGGAAAGGATGTGCAAACCCAACACACGTTCACTGAGGCTGGAATCGACCCCGGGTCCCTCGTGCAGTGAGGCAGCTGTGCTAACCATGCCGCCCGTGTACATGAGAAAACATCTTTACTTCAGAGGCTGTTGCTAGGCAGTCTTCAGCACAATTGGGAGGGTTTTCTACATGTGTTTGTCCAGCAGTTAAAAGCGGTGCTACAACACTTGCCACAGTTAGTTGACTTGAATAAGCAGTGGGTCAATGACCTTATTTTTGGATTTTTTTCATTTTTTTGCTTCCAGGGAAGTAACTGGTAAATCCCCCTTAAGTCCAGAATGTCTAACCAGTTTATGTATTCCAGTTATAGAGCCATAGCGAGATACAGCACGGAAACCGACCTTTCAGTCCAACCCGTCCATGCCAACCAGATATCCTATGTAAATCTAGTCCCATGTGTCAGCATTTGGCCCATATCCCTCTAAAGCCGTCCTATTCATATACCCACCCAGATGCCTTTTTAAATGTTTAATCATACCAGCCTCCGCCACTTCCTGTGGCACCTCATTCCATCCACATACCACCCTCTGCGGGAAGATGAACTCGGATGTGCAGAGGCATTTGAAATCAAACAGCAGAGGCAGTAGCTGTGAAGGTTCACTGCTGGGTCAGACTGTACTGTAGATTTCTTTCTTTGTGATTCACTTCCAAAGTGGTCACTGCATTTGTCTCCCTTCCTTTTCTAAAGTGCTGTTGTTCTGATCTTTTCCCCCAATGTTCCAAAACAATGCAACAGATTATAAAATGATAATCACTGCTCCGAGAATGCGAGGAAATCAGCTCCAACACAAAAAAAACTTCAAAAAGTGGAGCGGCTCTTCGAGCCACCAATTTTTCCCATCCTCCACCTTGGATTGCCCGGAATCCTTTTCTTATAATCCATAAAAATGTGTTTCTAGCAGACGCGACCCTGAGCTGCAACTTGGACCTTTAGATAAAACCCGAAAGAACTGTGGATGCTGTAAATCAGGAACAAAAACACAAGTTACTGGAAAAGCTCAGCAGTTCTGGCAGCATCTGTGAAGGAAAAAAATCAGAGTTAACGTTTCCTCAGAACTGTTCGAAGGAAAGGTCACTGGACCCGAAACGAAACGTTAACTCTGATTTTTTTTCCTTCACAGATGCTGCCAGAGCTGCTGAGCTTTTCCTAAAACAGAAGTTGCTGGACCTTTTAGGTGATGTGCCCCAAGCCCAGCAATAAGTGCAAGTCAGTGTCAGTTTAGTGCTGCTGGCGGTCTGTTGCATTTTGCTATCCATGCACAGAAGGTGCCCCAGCAAGCTGTCTGGTAGGGAGTTACACAGGAGCGTGGTGGACCCTTCAGTCCCTTGAGCCTGTTCTGCCATTCCTTGTGATTGTGGCGAGGGTGGAAACTAATCTTGACCCTGCAATCGAGCAGCGTGGCTGAGATTTTTTTAAATCAGGCAAATAAATCTTCAATAATATTTGGAGCTGCTGCCAGGTGATTGCTTTCCTGTCCTGTTTCATTCAGAAGCTGTTAAAAATGTCATGTGGAAGAATGATGAGGGGCCATGGAGACGCTGTCCCTGCAGAGTCTGGGAAATGAGAAGTGAGGTGGACTGTTATATAATTTTGTTACCTCCATCATTAAGTCTGAAAGCCGCCTGCTTCAGCAGGTTTAATGTTTAATTGAATTCAGTACCGTGTCTGAGATTGGCTTTATTCTGCAGCCTCAAATTACTGCCTTCACTGGAGCAGACACAGCCCAAGAGGGTTGTCGGGGTGGGGGAAGGTGTTGTGTTGCATTTACGCAAGTTGCAAGGGGTTGAAAAGGTTGAGAGACGATCCTGATAGGAGCTTGTCAGAGGCTGGTATGTTTGGAGCAGAATTAATGAGGGGGATGCTTTTCCATCGGCGAAGGAAGTGGGAGGCTGGGCATGGAGCAGGAGTCCCACGTTTCACAAGGGGTGGGCCATAGAGCAGCAGGGGAGATGATAATCCTTTCTCCTCGCCGAGTTCCCAGGATCCAGGGCGCGCAGCCTGAAAAGGTGCCGGAAGCGAATTCTGTAAAGGGTTTTTGGAGACGTGTCTGACAGCTGGGTGCGCGTGGTCTCCTTTCCTTACTCATAAAGTCAGTCTTATCCTGGAAAAACTCTGGCACATCTCTGTTCTGCAGCCACCTTTATTTTTAAACCATCGGAAAAGACCCTTTGGCCCATCAAGTCTGTGCTTGTCAAAACCTAGGCCCTAGTTCTAAATCAGCAAAGCTGATTATCATACAGGGACAGGCTGCACAGAGCAGGTTATATTCCCTCTCTCCCAGAGAGGATTAAGAGACGGTTTCATTGAGGTATTGAAAATCATAGGAGGTATAGGCTGTTGTTTGGAAAGGACAGTTCTCTCCTGAGGTGTTTGCAGCATTTGCTGAAGTCCAGTTTTTGATAGAAATGCATGTATTGTCCCTCAGTGTGTGCTAGCAAGTCTCCTGCATGCCTTAACACTGATCTCTGACATTGTGTTGCAGTGCTACCGGGATCTGATGTTGGTGAGCAGAGATGGCATGAACCTGATTTTAATAAAGATTAACCAGCTCCTCATGGAGAAATACCTGAAACTGCAGGATACTGTCAGGATACAGGTGAGGGGCAGGACTGCGGGTATTATTCTCGTCTCTTCATTCAGAAGGTAATTCCCATTTCAGAAAGAAGGAACACCGTACTGGCTAAGTCAGTCAGCGCACTGACGGAGCGCGTGCGGCCGGAGGGTCCTAATAGAATCCTTACAGTGCAGAAAGAGGCCAATGGGCCCACTGAGTCTGTACCGAAGGGGATAGCACCCGGGCTGAACTCCTTACCCTATCCCCCCATAACCCCACCTTTCCCCGGCTAATCCACCCAGCCTGCAGCCCCCTGGTCACTGTGGGCAGTTTGGCATGGCCAGTCCACCGACACTGCTCATCATTCCAATAAGCATGGTTTGGGGAGGAATCCTTCATGTAATCAGCTGGGAGTTGCTGTGATGTGAACCTGCGAAGGCAGTGATAGCAGCAGCATGGGGGAGGGGAAATACAGTGCTAAAGTTAACGGAGGGTAACACTGGCAGTTTTGAAGAGTGGGGCAGTTGTAGTGTCTGGTGTTGTGCCTTTTCTCCGCTCACCCTGACTGTCCAGAACTGGCCCTGGGTCCAGGCAGTCACCTTGGGTCTTGGCATTACCATGATCACACACCAACCAGGATAACTGTAGCAACGTGCCGCTGTGGTGGAAACTGTCAAGATCGGTCAGGGCTGACAGAATCTGTTCGATAATTTGCCGTGACAGTATGTGAGTGCATTGCAAAGCTTCCTCGAGGTTAGTGTAAGAGCTGCTTCCCACTGAGAATTCCATCTTAGAGCTGACAGCACACTGCTTACAATACCAAATGCATTATTTCATGCTGTTTTTGCCTGATCTGTGAAAGCATTCAGCTGAATGATGACAGGTCTGTCGCTGTATAACACTGGGGTACGGTACCGGTGGGGAC